CCTTTTTTAGAGAGTTTTTGTCATATCATAGTGTCTCATCCCATCAAACATAAAGAAGGTTGACATGAATAACTCCCCGAAATGGGAACATTATATCTGTATATAATTCACTGAAAAATGTAGAGAAAATTTGACAAAAAGGGAAGACTCGTCCCACAACAAGAGCTTTCACCTTTTTCAGAGAGTCTGTGTCATGTCATAGTGTCTTGTCCCATCTAACATAAGGGAGGTTGATGTGAATAGTTCCTTGACATGGGAACATTATATCTACATATAATTGGGTTGACAAATGTAGAGAATCTACAACAATAAAATGGAAGGCTCATCCCACAATAACCATTTTCACATTTTTCAGAGAATCTCTATAATGTCATAATGTCTCATCCATCAAACATAAGGAGGTTGACATGAACAGTTTCTCGACTGAGAAAATTATATCTACATATAATTGACTAAAAAATGCAGAGAAAATTTGATAAAAAAAAGTAAGGTTCGTCTCACTACAAGCGCTTTCATATTTTTTAAAAGAATCTTTATCATGTCATAGTGTCTTGCCCATCAAACATAAAGAGGGTTTATATGAATAGTTCCCCAAAATAGGGACATTATATTTTCATATAATTGATTGACAAATACAAAGAATCTATGACAATAAAAAGGAAGTCTCGTTCCACAACAAGCGCTTTCACCATTTTCATAGAATCTATATCATGTCATAGTGTCTAATCCCATCAAACATAAGGGTGGTTGATGTGAATAGTTCCCCGACTGGGAACATTATATTTTTCATTTTAATACTCAACTCTTCAAACTCTCAAACTATCAAACTCTGGCTCTAATCTTTCAAAAAGTGGGTCGTATTTTTGATGTTGTTTATTATGATAGACAAATTCGGTAACCTAAAGTGCGAGTTATTTTGGAATCAGATCATTATATCCCCTTAACCTTTAAGAGAAACATCACTCTTGAGGAGTTAATCACAAAAAGTTCCTTAAAAGTTCATGTTGGAAGTACTAGAAGACTATCTTCACTTCAGTACAGATTCCATATTAAACTTTTTTAATTAACATATACAACATTTGATCTATTCGACGATGATGATGTTACTATGATGGTTGATGCTCAGAAAGAAAATTGAGAAGCTATTACAGAAATATATGCCATATTTTTGAAGTATGTGCAATCGTGGTATGCTATTATGCTCTCACTATGGGTTGGTTCATCAAGTTGATCAAGTTCACATTACAACTCAAATAATATGTAATCATTTCTCATCATTAATGGCAAATCCACCTCCTGGTGACATGCCATCAAGTTCAATAGGGAGGCATTCATCAACAACTACTTACGATCACTACCGTGGTGGCTCCATGAACAATCTATATGGCAACGTGTCTTCCAATTCAAGGGAAAGGCATTCATTTGCCAACTTTTTTGACCTCAACATGGAAATACCATCTACACAACATTCTGTTCAATATTCATATGACACTGTGTCTTCAAGTTCCAAGGAAATGAATTTATCTACCAACTTCTTGGACTTTAATATGGAGATGCCTTCGACACAATAGTCTATTCAAAACCCATATGACACAATTTCTTCAAGTTCAAGAAGAAGGCATTCATTTGCCAACTTGTTTGACTTGAAAATCTGATTGACAGATGAACCTTCATCTCCACCAGAAGAACTGCTTCATGATCCAAGTGCGAACGGTACAAAAACAAGATTATTCGTTGAACCTGAATCACCACAATTTAACATGTTCTTCGATGATAGTGCGGATGAAGTTCACATAAATACAGTACAACTCAAACCTCCAATATATATGTATGGAGCTGACTTTAACATAATGTACGAGCCAAAATTTTTGAATGTGCCTAATATTGGAGACTATGGATTTAACTCAATAGTCAATGATAGTGAGTTATATATTATAATGGAGTTTACATCCAAAGAAGAAGCAATGATTGTAATTAAAAATTATAATATTCGTAATTCATTTCACTCTAGACTCAGTCGATCCACCATTGAAAAATATGTTTTCCACTATGTCCAATGTGATAACGGATGCAACTATATGGATCGCGTATCAATGAGAAAAAAGAAGAACAACATATATGAACTAACAAGATACAACAATCATTATACATGTTGTGAAAGATGGATCAATCAAGACCATCCAAACTTGGATTATAACATTATTTTCCAAGCCATCATGCCCATAGTCAAAGTAAGCTCTCACATAGCTACAGTTGCGTTGATTTTTTGTTATACAATCACAATATGGGTATATCGTCTCCTACAGAAAAGCATAGAAAGAAAAATAGAATTTTATTATAAAACTTCACGGCGAGTGGGATTTTTCTTATAACGAACAACCCAGTTGGTTTAAAAATGTAAAGACTGAATCCTAGGATAATAGTTGAGCTTAAAACTCGCCATGCATACGAGAATGGTCGAGTAGTTCGAGATCGATGTTAATTATACTGTATTTTTTGGACTTAACCACAGTGTATTAATGTGGTAAAATATTGTAAATTGGTGGTCCAAATTGATGGTACATTCTTGTATGAAAATACAATCAAGTTTTATTATTTGCAGTTGTCCAATATGGTAACCGCAACATTCTTCCCATTGCATTTTCCCTTGTTGAAGAAGAGGATAGAGTCTTGGTTTTTTTCTTGAAAAATTTATGCTTACATGTTTTCACGAGGGATGACATATGAATCATTTCAGACCGAAAGAGCTGGGATCAAAGCAGCAATGGACTCTTTTGGTACAATGTAGAAACCCCCACATGTTCAACATTATTATTGTATCTGACATATTGTTGCAAACTACCATTGAAAATTTAAAAAGAATGATGAATGTCAATTACTTATACACAAGGGTATGTTACTTTTTTTCAAATTAATTTCCCAATCATTTTCATTTTATTTATTTCTAGTTCACACTAACTAGTACATATGGCTTAGGTTACAAATTCTTACCTCAAAGGTTTGAGTTCGTGCTTCAAGAGTTACAAGGAAAATGAGCAAGGATACAATTACATCAGATCCATTAACAAAGAAACGTAGACAAATGCATATGATGAAAGATATTTATATGGTCACATGACAATCAACTTCGCTGAAGCTATCAATGCAACCTTAAAGGGGGCACGTCATTTACCTGTAACTTCTTTGGTTAAAACGACAAATTTTTGTTTGGGTAAGTTGTTTCTGAAGCTCGGGGACAAGTTAAACAATCATGTTTATCACCCAATATTAGTGGCAAATCTACATAAAAAAGTTACAACATCAAATGGAATGTTGGTAACAATTTTTTTCGCAGACATGAATTATTTCGTGCGACAGAAATGCCATGACCTCTTCAAGGGATTAAATCTAACTCTTCCAAAGTTAATATACAAGAATGGTGGTGTGATTGTGGCTTTTTTTCAAGCTCTAAAGTATTCATGCTCTCATGTCATAGCAGTTTCCTCACATTCCCATTTGGACTATAAAAGTTATATTGATCATGTATACCAACTTTCGCAAGTATTCAATGTATATGAATTTGAGTTCCCCCTATAGGTAATGAAAAAGACCCAAATGAGATTCATACTTGGCTTACAATTATATTGAATTATTAAAGGAGTCATGTCGTCTAAAATCCACTCGAATTCATTGTGATATGGATATTCAAGAGATGTCAAACGAACCTAAAAAATGTGGGCATTGCAGAAACTTAGGCCACAATAAGAAAAAAATATACATCTCTTTTATCATCACTTAAATGTTGAACATTACTTATGTAATTGTATTATCTAATATTTCAGTTTATGTTATTTTATTTTCTTGTACTTTCTTTTCTTCTATTTTATGTATTTTCATTTTATATTTTCTCACATAAATAGTATCAATGATTATATATATATATATCATTAGGGTTTATATTCTACAATTTATATGTATATGGTTTATAAATTACAATTTTCATTTTAATGTTCAATGATTACATTTTAGGGAGAAAAGTTTATGATTAATAATTTACAATTTATAAGGTTTAATGACTATGTTAAGAGTTTATGATTTAATGTTTAGGGTTCATTATTTTCGATTTAGAGTTTAGTTCTTGTGAATAAGATTTTTAATTTAAACCTAACCCTAAACCATTATAGTAAATGAAAAACCCTAAACCATTTTAACCTTAAAAATCGTAAATTGCTAAAAACCCTAAATTACTTAACCAACTTAACCCTAAATCAAAGTGAAAGACACATCTTCTACAACGCACCTTCCACTGTGGTCGCCAAATCAGCAAATCCCCTGGAAAGCGCACCCCATGAAGCATGCCTTTTGTCCACATCGGCAAGGCACGTTGTGTGAAACACACCTCCCCTTGTTTAGTCAGAAAAGGTGCTAGTTTGGTACATATTCGAGAAATAGTGTTAATTTAGTATTTTTTTATTTTTGGATAAAATTGTTGTTGATAAGTGAGTGAGGCAGGTGAGATCATCAAGAGCGAGGTAAGAGGTTTGTGGTTTGGGATTCAAGACTTATAGTTTGATTTTTTATTTTTTTATTTATCCGTACATGATATAAAATATTAATATAATATATCATATCATAAAAATATAAATAAACTATTTTAAAGTGAATAAAATAAAATAAATATAATTTAAAAGTTGAGTAATTAAATAAAAAACTAAACTTCAATAATCAAAATCTGAATACAAGTAAAATTGAATGGTGAAATTTATAAATCAATATTTTTAAAAAATTAAACAAGTCTATTAAAGATAAAAAAAAATATTATTATTATTAAAATTAATTTGATTATACACCATCAAATAAAGTAATATACAGATTTCAAATCCCAAAGCATGTGGCTGTGGGGGATTAAAACTAGTATATACAAAACACAAAACATCATAGATAATACGACAGCACCTATAAAACTAATAGCTCATCGGGTAGGTGTTCCTGCTTGAAACCCTATAGACTTCTTTCTAAGTCTCCCCAAAATTCTCGCAGCTGCAACTTAAAAACCGTGGATTTTGATGTTATCCTTCTTCACAATTCCAGCCTGTTCATAATTTAAGAGAGAGATTGGTCATTAACAACAACATGCCCCAATTGCTATGTTGAATCTTTCAAGCATGAAGCAACTAAAGGCCAATGGGAATTACCTGGACAAGGAAAGTGCAGACGTTTTTCCTCTGATCTCCTTGAAGTTGAATAACCTACAAATGAACAAAGTACAGAATAAAATGCACAACGGAGAAGAAAGATGAAGGCGGCCGACCAGAGATGGACCGATGGGGATGATTGGGGTGGCCGTCCCCTCCTAGAAGTTTTATAGTCTTACATAATTTAGTTATTTTTTTTATATTTTCTATTGATAATCTATTTTTTCCTTCTAATTTTATAAGTTCGTGCTTCCGGCTATGAGGTGGATGTTAGTTTCTTAGGAGGTTAAACACAAACCTTCCCTAATTCAGGGTCCTGGACAACGGTGCCATTGCAGCAAAGTTCTTTCTTGAGGTCCTTGAGGATTTTGTTGTAGCAAAATTCTTTCTTCAACCCCTGAACAGTGGTCAGGCTTTTCCTACCGTTCCGCTGCTGAATACGGATGTGAATGTAGTCCTTGGCAACGGCACCGGCGTCTTCAGCATTTGCATCAGCAAACGGATCTACCAACATACAATTGTGGACAAGTTAGAATATCCATTATCATGGGAAGGTAATAATTACCAAAGGGTAGAGATAAATATGAAAGGAAAATAATTACCAAAGGGTAGAGATAAATATGAAAGGAAAACAATTACCAAAGGCAGAAGGAATCTGGACTTCAAGATCAGACATGAAACTTAGTTGATAGAGATGAACAACTCGAACACTCAGACCTAGATTACAAGGCCAAATATTCATTAGTAATTTCCTTCCACCAAGTCAAATGAGGATTTTTGTTTTCCCACATTCTGGTTTTGACAACATGAGACACAATAAAATGGCCTAAAAACAATCCAAAATGATTTGAATGATCGAAATAACCAGATGAAATTCTTTCATAAAAAAATAAAATCCAATCCAACTCTAACGGATTCAAATGAATACTGTGATTTTAACTTGAGAGATGAAAAAAAAAACAAAAAGGTTCTACAGATTGCATTTTTTATTTCTACAGATTGCATTTTTTATTAAGGAAACATATATCTTAGCTTAAATAAAATAGATATACCAGCAAGCTAACAACAAGAGCAATAATAAAAATATCAAAGAAGGCGCCGAAAATCTTTAGATAACTGCAAAATTTACAAATTATATAGAAAGATTAACAACGATAAAAGAATCGAAGACAATTTAAACGATAGAAAAAATTCAATGATTACACATTTTTAATGAAATACAAATCAAAGGAGAGGCTATAACATACCTGATCCGTGAAATTAGGGTTTTGGATAAATCAAGGAATCCCGATTATGAAATAAAGAAACCCTGAAATTGATGATCCAAGGCTGAGCTCCGTTTCTATCTCGCGCGCGCGCTGAGTTTTGATGGATGGCTTTGGGAGAGAGAATATGTATATATATGTACGTATACATGTGGAAAATAGAATTTAATTATATAAATATATTATATTTTAATTTTAGATTTTTGGATTTGGTTGGCCATAAAAATCGAGTGAGCAATCAGATATTTTAGCTGAAATCAAATTTGATGAACACGTGTACGGTGATTAAGATGAGTGTAATAAAGTTTAGTATTTTTTTTATTAAAGTACGGTGATTATAAAGTAATATTTGTTCTAAATATTATCAATCATTTGATAATGAAAGTTCAATCATATTCCTACAGTCTATGGTGCTCGAACCCGTAATCTCTAGAAATAACAACGATTCTTTTAACTACTGAAATAAATTTATTTGTACCCAATGACGTTTAAGAACAACAACTATTCTTTTAAGTATATGTGGTTATTAAATTAACCTCTTAGATTAATAAAAAAAATTAAATATATAAACCATCGGCTTAAAAAATTGAACTGACAAAAACAAATTTTATTATATACTAATCTAATAATTTAGTATCAACAAAAAATAAAACGATATCAATTGTAGTACATTATAAATTTAATTAACATTTCTTATTATAAATTAAGAGTTAATGATAAATTTTAGTTTTGTTAATAAAATATTATTAGATTGATTAAGTATTAAAACCTGTAAGCTAAGGTGATTAAAAGGTAGTATATGTTCTAAATACTCTCAATCATTTGATAATGAACGCTAAATTATCCTATTGCAGTTATTAGTGCTCAAACCCGTGACCTCTAAAAATAATAACAATTTTTTTAACCATTGGTTCGTGCATTTCTACTATTATTTGAATTGTTGACTTTTCTTTATAAAAAAAATTGTTCACTTTTCAGTTATACTTTTGATGATATTTTAACAATATAAAATTAAAATTTAACACTAAAAAATATATGCATTAACATTGCGCATTCAATTATTTTATTCAATTAATAGTTAAAAATAGCAATTAACGTTCAAATTTCATTATTTTTAAAGTAAACTACACATTTAGTACTTTAATTATTATTTTTGTTCCGTTTTGATAATTGAATTATATTTTTTAAAATTATATCTAATATTATGTTTTGATTTCATTTTATTCATTCGTTATTAAAAAATTAACGTAACTGAAAATAAGAATATCAATTCGAATGTTATCATTTATCCATTTTTAAAAATTATAAATAATTGAATTAAAATTCGAAGTAGGTTTTATTTTGCAATCATAGATGGATACAAGCGAGTGAAATAAGGATTTGTTTGGTTGAGTGGAAAAATGGATGAATTGGAAGAGAGGTGGGAAAGTGAAACGAAAATAAATATTGAATGTGTTTGATAGGAAAAAAAAGTGATGGAAAAAATGAGAGGATGGTCATTTCATATCTTCATATTTAAAAAAAATCATTCTAATATAAAAAAAAGAGAGAAAATGACAAAAATATAAGGGAGTTGTGAGTTAATTTAAAATATATATTTTTCAAATTTCAATTTTATTTCTCTCAAGTTTCAACTCTACCAAGCAATAATGGAACATAAATGGCATCTTCTTTCAATTTTTTCGTCCTTCCCACCAAGCACATCAATGAAAAGAAGAAAACAAATCATATTTCTACCTTTTTGTCCCTCTAATTTATCATCATTCTAATTTCCATCTCCTCCTTTCAAATTGAGATGATTTATTTTTACAAATGAGGATGAAAAATTAGAATTCCTCTCATTTTTCATCATAATGTGTGTTAATGACAACAAGTTTGATTTGTTGACTATCGACAGTTTAACCCCTTCTGATTTGGACAGAATATTGCAAGTGGTGAGAAAACAATCACTTATTGGTGTTTAGAGAAAGAAGAGATTAGATCATAAAGGACAAGATTCAAGGAGAGTCGGTCATGATAATGAATGGTTCCTTGCTTCTTCAAGTCTTGATTGAGAGTATTTATAGCGACATTTAGTGTTTGCGTTAAACTGGAGTTATTATATCTATTTGAAGACTTTCAGGCTAGGTAGATTTATTAGTCATAGCTTAAATTATATTTTGATAATCAAATAAGGGGCGAACTAAAGAATGATAATCAAATACCCACAACCGGTTGGTCTAGCGAGATAAGACATTAAATCACTTAAGTAAGGTCAGGGGTTCGAATCTTGGCAATTAGTATGGAGCAAACTAGGTTAGGAGGGTCGCCCTCGTCTCCGCAGTACCTGATCCGAATTAGTCGACCAATAGATTGGAAGCCAGTTGTTATACAAAAAACGGAATGATAATCCAATGTTCTCAATTTTTTTGGTCTAATAACAATATAGGTCATTATAAATTTAATTATTAGATAAATTAGACATTATTTTCTGAATTGTAAGTTTAAATACCTAAAAGTCATTGTATTTTTATTAAAAATTTAATATTTCGACCTCTATCTATATCTAATCCTAGCTCCGCCACTGTATAGGTCTGTATGAGGTCTTGCCTAGAAGTTTCATCTATAAATAACGATGGGGTTGAAGACCTACTCCTAAAGAAATCGAATTCCTCTTCGATAAGCAAGGTTTGTCTAGGACTTTTGGTCCATGAAAAGATGATGATCCAGGTAGTTTTCCAAGGTATAAGAACGTGTAAAATAAATCACTGTAATTTAGATAAAATTTTAGAGAAGTTAGTTTAAAATATATATTTGTAACACCTTAAGTTTGTTTCCTTTATTTTCAAATTCTACCACGTACATTAATAAAGATAAATTATATTTTCTTCTAAAATTTTCAACATTCTTACCAAAATCATTAATAAAAAAGAAGCAATATTTTTTGTCAAAATATGTAACTTACTTTTATAATTATAAGTATGATAAACTATCAAAACATTCACTTGTCTTTTATATTTATACACTTTTTCTTATCAAATTTAGAAAAATTTAAGTTTTGGTCACTGAAACGTTGGATGCAATTAATTAGGAGATGTGGCATATTAGTAAAAAGAATTTAACTTTTATTTTAATCCATGTACTTTAGCTGAAATATTAACTATGGACCTTTTTGTAAATCCAAAGCAATTTAAGGAAAAAATTTCAATTTGCCCCTTTCTTTAATATGCTTTTCATTCAACCGGCACTTTTGCTTGCTTCTCTCTCCACTCCACCCTCGCTCTTTAATACAGTTTGTTTTATTTAATGGGTAAAAGTGCATAATATAAAAGATAAGTGATTATTTTCGTAATTTATCCTTATATATATAACTGCATTTCTCTACTTATAAATGAAATAAATAAAATTTGTTTACTATTTACAAAAATTAATTGTAAAAATAAAATTGAGATATGATCTTGATTAATTATACATTCACTATAAGAATGAAACCGAGATATGATTTTTATTAAAACCCACTATAATAGTTTTTAAATATACTCATCGTATCACCACGCCTAGTTGTAGCTGTCAACAAATATAGTAGAAATAAGTTATTAGTATCTCAAAATTTTCCTTCTAAAAGAAGTTGGGAGAGGGAAGTCAAAATAAATTATTACAAAATAACAAACATTCAAACTTAAATCTGTAAAGATGGATTAAGACATAAATTCAAACTTATTCAATATAGCCATTAACATGTGGTTCTTAACCATTTCAGCACCACAAATCATTCATTACAAACAGTTACTACTAGACAGCGTTAGCCGCTTTAACGTCTGAACACAAGCATCTTGATGAAAAGAAAATTACGAAAACATACAAAAGACACCGTAACCAAATATCATATCTTGGGACAGATCAGTAACCACCACCACGGAGGCGAAGAACAAGATGCAGAGTGGATTCCTTCTGGATATTGTAGTCGGCTAAAGTCCGACCATCTTCTAACTGCTTCCCAGCAAATATCAACCTCTGCTGATCTGGAGGAATCCCCTCTTTGTCCTGAATCTTTGCTTTCACATTGTCGATCGTGTCTGAGCTATCCACCTCAAGGGTGATGGTTTTCCCGTCAAGGTCTTCACAAATATTTGCATCCCTCCTCGAAGGCGCAAGACTAGATGCAGGGTTGATTCCTTTTGGATGTTGTAGTCTGCGAGAGTCCTCCCATCCTCAAGCTGCTTTCCAGCAAAGATCAACCTCTGCTGGTCAGGTGGGATACCCTCCTTATCTTGGATTTAGGCCTTCACATTGTCAATTGTATCAGAGCTCTCGACTTCTAATGTAATAGTCTTTCCTGTGAGAGTCTTTACAAAAATTTGCATGCCACCACGGAGACGTAACACCAAGTGAAGGGTAGACTCCTTTTGAATGTTATAGTCTACAAGGGTCCGACCATCTTCAAGCTGTTTCCCAGCAAAAATTAACCTCTGCTGGTCCGGTGGAATACCCTCCTTGTCTTGGATCTTAGCCTTGTCATTATCAATTGTATCGGAACTCTAGACCTCTAAGGTTATGGTCTTGCCAGTAAGTGTTTTCACAAATATCTGCATACCACCCCGAGGTGAAGGACAAGGTGCAGGGTGGACTCTTTTTGGATATTGTAGTCGGCAAGGGTTCTGCCATCCACTAGCTGTTTACCGGCAAAGATAAGCCTCTGTTGGTCCGGAGGGATCCCTTCTTTGTCTTGGATCTTGGCCTTGACATTATCAATTGTATCTGAGCTTTCGACCTCAAGGGTGATGGTCTTACCAGTAAGGGGGCGTTTGGATGGGGGAATGTGGGATTCTCCTGAGAATGGAATCCACATTTCCCGTTTAGTTTTACCGGGAATGTCATTTCCGGGAATGTCATTCCCGGTAATATTTTATTACCAATATTGGATTTTTTGATGTATATTACCGGGAATATCATTACCTCCCTTCCTTTAGGTATTGTAACATTACGGGCGTTTTGGACTAAAATGCCCTTAAATTTTTATTTTTTTTCAAAAATATCATTCTTCTGTCATTGAATAATAAAAATTCTACGAAGGTTAAATTACAAATTTATCCTTAAATTATTTTAGATTTACAAAAACAGTCTATAATTAAAA